AAAATAATAATAATAATAATAATAATAATAACAATAATAATTTGCATGACTTGACTGCAGGGTACTCTAGCACAGACCGCACGGGCAACAACACAACACTAGGCAGAGGAAGACACAGCCTAGTACGAGCTCGGCCCCCATACCCAGCACCCAGCTGGCCAAGCTGAAATCTTCTTATATCAGACATCACGTGCACTAGGGCAACATGGAGAGGAAAATTCAGCAATGACCAGTAATAGTATTTCAACCTGCCTGCACACTAGGTATTTGCTGTTACTATGAAGACAGATAAGTTTTCTCATTTTATTATGAAACTTGGACTTTGTTATTTCTTAATTTAGTAAGTTAAAATATTTTTTTTTTAAAGTTAGGGCCAGGGATTTAGCTCAATGGTACAATGCCTACCTAGCAAGTACAAGGTCGTGAGTTTGATTCCTGGTACCAAACAACAAAAAACTATCAAATAAGAAAAAAATTTAGAGTTTTTGGGCTGGCCTGATAGCTCACTGGACTAAAGCACCTGCTTAGGCAGAGCACAGCGGCCAGCTGGGGTGCCGTGCCAGCCCCGCCTGTGGGGCATGCTGAGATGGCAATTGAGAGTGGGCGTTGTGACACACACCTGTAATCCCAGCACTTGGGAGGCTGAAAACAAGAGAATCACCATGAGTCCGACCTACATAGTGAGACCCTGTCCTAAACACAGGGGAGGAAAAAAGAAACTATACAGAGACTACGTACTGTATGAATAGTCTATACAAACTATGTTATGACTTCATATGAAGCGCAAGACAATTCTTCACTCAGTACAGCCAAAGTAAAGCCACAGATAGGACCCGCATGGTCTCGTGCCACCAGGGATGGGTAAATGAACTGCAGGACCTATGAGACCCAAACACAACCCACAGCACCCAGAAGTGTCCTACTGCTTCTTTACCCGGAGACTTTATCCTGCAGATCCTAGACTCCTTCTAGAGAAAGAGAAATACTTGGTATGTGCCACTCTGCCATCTTTTGGGAGTCTGCAAATTGTATAAAATGCCATATTATCACAAACCAATAAGCCCAGGCATTGGCTGCTTTGCCGCACAGCAGTAGCAAGAACCCTGCAGGCCAGCACCTCCTCCCTCAGCAGCAGTGAGACAGCCAGCGCAGAGGTCGTGCTCAAACCCCCACACCGAACTCCAGCAGTGGGCCTGTATTGGGCCGTGGTCATGGACAGAATGCCCTCAAGACAACAGGATATCTGACCTTCATTCTTGATGCCAGGCTCACGATGGTAAGGTGTTTCAGCTTGTTCCGCTGGGCTGTACTCAGTTCTGGCAGGCTCTCCTTGTTCGCTGCTCGGTCCCACCCACCACAAAAATCAAGACATAAAATAAAATTAGGATTTCTTTTATGGAGTAAATTCATCATCTCCCAGCCAAATCTATTAAATCACTGTCATGACTCTGAACTTGTTCACTGGGCAAGCATTCAGCGAGCACTTCTGTCTTCTCTGGGAGATCAAACGCTTCCAGAGAAAAGACTCAGACTTTCCACGCACAGAGAAGCCTCTTGAAAAGCCAGGGGTGCACAGACACATGGATGGCAGTTACCATAAGTAACAACACTGTTTGTGCCTCTTGTGACACTTGATGAGCATCCTTCACCGAGTGTCTATTTGGTGTGATGCACTGTCCTGAGCATCTCGGCTGGGTGCTGTACTCTGGGCACCCCTGCCTAGAGCCATACAACTCAACAGTCCCAGACTTGTCCTTACTGTTTCAATGAGAAGTCTCAACAGCTACCAATACAAGGCAGAACTAGCAGGGGAAAAGTATAAACTACCATAAGAAAAGGGAAGTCAAGAAGAGTTGGAAGAAGACAGAAAGAAATGAACACAATCACAAGTGGACGGTGCAGAGGCTGGGGATTTGGCTCAGTGGTAGAATGCTTGCCTAGCGAGTTGGAAGCCCTGGGTTTGGTCCTTGGCACCAAAAACAAAAAATAAACCTCTCCTGAAAAACAATTCAACAACAACAACAAAAAAAAAAAACAGTAAAATCAAAAAAGACCAAAAACAAACAAGACAACAAATGGAAGTTGCAGAAGAAAAGAAAGGCTTGTGGCAGAGGCCCAGTAACAAAGGGACTGAGCAGGGCGGCAGCAGCAGCAGCAGCGGGAGCCCCACAGAGAGCTCATGCACATGGGCATGCCTCCCCTCCCGTTCACCTTCACACAGATCCCAATGCCTCTGGATCTCAACAATAACTTGGGATTCTAAAAGGCTAAAGCTAAATTGTTTTCTTCTTATGCAGAGTGCTGAAATTGATCAGGTGGCAATTCCTGTCCTGTGCTGAGGCCAGCTTCTCTGTTTTGCTTGCATACTGGGGACTGGACCCAGGCCTCTCACACTAGGGAAACATTCTAGCAATACCTCAGTCCTTTTTATTTTGAGGCAAGTCTCACTAAGTTGTCCAAGCTGGCCCTAAACTTTTCCTACCCTCCTGCCCAGCCTCCTGAGTAGATGGCATTAAAAATGTGTACCACTACACCCAGGTTGGGGCCAGCTTTTTATCTTATTTGTGTGAATACTACTTGTTTTGCAGCAAAACTATGGAGGTATTTGGTTACAGATGTTATTTGGGAATGTGACTCAGAAAGGCTTATGCATCCTATAACCTTTCTAAAGGCCCCCAGAATTCTAAATTCTGAAAACATCTAGGCTTCCAGGGAGATAGCTCAGCAGCTTAAGTGCCTGCCTGGCAAGCACAAAGTCCTGAGTTCCATCCCCAGTACAAAAAAAAAAAAAAAAAAATCTAGCCTCAAGGTGGCAGGTAAGGGATTAAGGACTTGTATTATGACTTTCATTTTACAGGCAAAGAAACTGAGGTACATAAGATTACTGCATTCACTGACGGGCACACAGCTAGTACAAGTGGAGCTAGACTACCGAGGCAGGCAGCCTGGTCCCAAAGTCTATGCAATACTGCATCCTTGGTAAGTGAGGACAAGAGGACAACGACCAGAACAGAAGTGGTCAGAAAAATGCAGTGCACCAGGAGGTAGCACCCACGCAGGCTGACGACAGTGCAGACAAGGTGGAGGCGACCAGCAAGGGAAGTCAGAATTATACAGGAAGGGCCTGCGTACCAGGCTACTATTATACCAACAAAACACACACACACACACACTCAAAATACTAGGGTAGCCAGAGGAAAAACGCAATTTGGGTTAAGGATAGTTAGTACGTGGTCTTCAAGTTCCTCACTTGTGGCATATGAGGTTCTAAATTAAAACAACTCAAGGGCTGGGGAGATAGCTCAGCAGTTAAGCTCCTTTCTGGCAAGCACAAGGACCCAGGTTCAATCCCCAGTACCACATGTAGAGCCCATGCCAGTTACCAAAATGGGAGTGGTGGTGCACACCAGTAATCCCAGCGCTGGGGAGGCTGAGATAGGAGGATCATTACGAGTCCAAGCTGCATAGTGAGACACTATATCAAATAAATAAATAAATAAAAGATTTTTTAAAAGTTAAAAAAAACTCAAATGGGTTGGGGATATAACTTCACAGTACAGTGCTAGATTATGGACTATTAAAAATGAACTGACTTGGGGCTGGTGAGATGGCTCAGTGGTCTAAAGCATCTACTTAGAACAAGCTAAGCTAAGCAAAAGGACAGCGACCGCGGTTCAATCCCCAGCACCACATGCCAGCCAACCCGCCCCCTGGTGGGCTGAGCTGGACACACACACACATACACACACACACACACACACACAATAAATAAAATAAATAAGTGAACTGACTTAAAATATGAATAAAGACCTGTAACTAAGCGAAGATGTAAATAAGATACAAAACCGTAAACATAAACTACACAATGCAGTAGAAAACACAGAAGGGTTAAAGAGTCTAGCACCATAATGCTAATTTGATGAGTTATGAGTGTTTTATCTATTTTTCAAATTTTCTTCAACACAGTGATACTATTTTGGTAACACTTAAGCAATACTTTACAGTGGGTGTTCTGACCCTCCCAAAGCACTCAGAGCATCTCACCAACACCAGCTCTCAGTAATTTCACCTGGAAAATACATACAGGCTCTGCTTATGGAGGATCACACTGTACCAAACAGGAAATAAAGGAAAGTCTTTTCATGCTGTCATTGATGGGTTCAGCAGAGTGACAAGGGCACAACAAGAAGGTCCTAGATATTCGCACTTCAAATCCCAGCCCAAGGTGATTGTCCAAACCGAGCGATGCTGCAGTCAAGGCAAGTCTTTCAAAGGACCTCCACCAACTCACCTAGGTAATCAGGGTATGTCCCATAGGCAAACAGGTTCAGCAACTGCAAGTAAGCAGCATTAGCTCCTTCTGCAAGCTGTGGAGGAAAAGCAAAGTTCACTGGAGAACAAGCTGTCCAACAGTCACTCCAGTGTTCACAGAGGGTGGGTGCCGCTCCTTCTGCATTGCTGACTCAGTTGCCCTAAGGTCTCTTCTAACTCTGATTCTTTGAGGAAAAATAAAATTTCTAAAACCCCAAATTGGATCTTTCTTCCTCAAGATGTTTTATGCTATTTGCAGCTTTTTATTAAACACATACACACATAGCTTTAAGCTGGAAGCAGTTCAAGTTTTCTCCAGATTCCCTTTGTACTAAAGCAAAGACTGAAGCAGCCCTGTCCAGATCCCTGCTTTACAGGCTGATCACCACTATTAACCTAAACTGAAAAGCTTGGGGTCAGCTCCAAGTTTCAGGACGATGCACTGACTGGGAACCCAGGAAGCAATTAGCAGAGCACGCAGTATGACAAAAAAAAAAAAAGCCCACTTGGGACAGAAAAGCGGGATATGAGGCTGCCCCAAATAAAACTTGTCACTAAAATTACTTCCAAACCCTGATGCTGATGGAAGCCAGGTGTGGTGGCACATGCCCGTAATCCTAGCATTTTGGAGGATAAGGCAGAAGGATTGTTATGAGTTCGAGACCAGCCTAGGCTACAAAGTGAGCTCAAGGCCAGCCTGAACTGCACAGTGAAACCTTATGTCAAAAAGACACCACACAAAACATACATAAATAAATTTCCTGATGCTGATGGCAAAGCGCCATCTGTAGAAGACAAATGAGAGGGGCCAGGAGATGGCTGGGTGGAATAAGAGCTTGCCTGCCAAGCACAAGGGCCTGAGTTCAATCCCTGGTTCCGCAAAAAAAAAAAAAATTTGAAAAAAGAAGACAAATGAGAGCCACTGCTCAGCCTGGAACTGCTCTACTCTGCTCTTGCTATAAATGACAGCCTGCTACCTCCCAACTCACCAAGTACAGTAAGTGGAAAGAAGAGTAGAAAACGGCAGTTGGCAGATACCAACAGCAACAGCAATGCTATTCAATTTTAGCCATTTGGGGAAAAGGGGGGGTATGAGAACAGCACCCATAAATTCAGATCACTGAAAGGCAACTGGCTTATCCTCAGCCCTCAAATGGAAAAACATAAACTGTGCAAAGAAAAAGAGACCTCCAGCACCCCAGGGAGAACTTGGCAGCCTACACCTCAGTCTACCTCTCAGGTTACCAAAAGCCTCCTGAAGTCCCAAAGTAAGAGTTGCAAGAGACCTGGTGCAGGGCCGGGGAGATAGCTCAGTAGAATAAGTGCTCGCCTGGCAAGCGCAGGGTCAAGTTCAATCCTCGGTACCGAAAAAAGGGGAAAAAAAGAGAGAGACCTGGTGCAGACTGCCAAACCTAGACCCCACCTTTTAGGCAGATAACTATAAAAATAAATGGAACAGATTATGGTGTGATACTCCAAAACTGCTCACACCAGCCTAAGTTCATAAGGTATTGCCTGCTTTATTTTTCATCCATTTCCTCTTTGCCAGTCTTCCAGTTAAAAAATGATTAGTTGCTCTTCATCCAGGCTTTTCAGAAACTTGAAAAAACATATTATCCCTCTGCCATCTATCTCTACTTCAGGTGGAAACTAAGGCCCATTCTCTCAGTCTTCCTCAGAGAATTTATTCTCCATCTGGTAAATTAAACTCTTACTGAAAGCCCACTGTGTGTCAGGCTACGTACTCAGTTCCAAGGAGCCTGCAGATCTTACAGGGTAGTAAGCAAGATTGGCATTAAATAATAAATTACAACTTAAAAACCAATCTGACTCTCTCTTTCATCTCCGGCCATCAGAAGAAGAAGAGACATGTATAGAATGGTTGCAGAGACCCCCCTTCAGTCTCCGGACCAAGAAGTAGCAGACCGACAGCACTGAACCCATAACCTAAAGGCCACAACTGGCTGCAGGGGTGGAGCTGGCAGGCATCAAGGCAATCCTCAAGGTGCTGAAGCAGCCAGCAGGAGCAAGCCACCTCCTTCATGCATCATCACCAAAAGCCCAAGAGCCACTCTCAGTAGCATCCCTCATACGACCCTCATGAAGCACCAAGGCCTGGGTCTGCACATGACGGTCACCCATGTGCTACCCTGAGTGCTAGCACTTAGAACAGAGAATAAAAAATGAACCAACTGGGGCCGGGGAGATGGCTCAGTGGAATAAGCTCTTCCCTGGCAAGCGCAAGGGTCTGAGTTCAATCTCTGGTTCCGCCAATAAATAAATAAAATAAAATAAAACTTAAAAAAAAAAAAAAGAACTAACCCCACCAGCACACCAAGAGCGCCACAGTGCAAAGCTCCTGCCAGTGCCAGGAGCTTTCATTCAATATTTTTCATTCAATATTTTCAACAACATTGAATGTTTGCACTTTTCTCAAATAAAAATGCAAGGTTCAGAGGTGAAAAGTATAAGGTGCTGTCTATTTGTGTGCTCTCTGGTCATCAGCAGCAGATATTCTTAGGTCACTGGCCAGCTCCAATAGTTCTCATGTCAGAGGCAGTGACCAAAACTGGACACAACAATCAAGTCAACAAAGCAAAATCAACTCCTTCCTTGCTTTACACGTCTTGCCCTTTTACCACATCTATTTTAGTACCACACTACCCTTTTCCACAGGGATGCTATTTGCCTATTCACGTCCACTTCATGTTCAACAGTACAATTGGGGCTGAGGAGATGGCTCAGTGGAATAAGCACTTCCCTGGCAAGTTCAAGAGTCTGAGTTCAATCCCCAGTTCCGGAAAAAAAAAACAGTATACTCTTCTGCTATGTATGTTCCTGACCCATCTTGTCCACACTGCACTGGAGGAGTTCTGCCCCTCAGAATTCCTATTAAACATCTGCCCATATGTATAGCACTATGCTAACTGATCAAGACCATGTTGACTTTCTTATTATCTTTCTGGTAACTAGCTACCCAGTCGAATTTTCCCCAAGTTCAAGGGAAAATATTGAATGAAAGGAACCCCAGATATCATACTCAATCATTCATCCTGGCATAGTAACTGGCGTCCCTTTCTCAATAGGGCATCTCACAAAGTCCACAGTCCTTCAGCACTGGAAATCTTGCAAATCCGGAGAATCACTGAAACACTTAGCATAAAGAGAAATCATTTGGAAGCCACTCTTACCTCCTGAACGTTGGCCAGCTCCAATAGTTCTCCAAAGACGTACACTCCAGGAGCCTCCAACACCTGGCTTATGAGAGCAGTAAGGGCTGACCCATTGGTACCTTTGGCTAGTAAGATAAACTGTTCCAGGAGGTTACTTGAGGGCTTTTGTTCACCTGCCATTCTCTGGCTTTAAGATCTGTTCAAAGAAAAGAGTGACAGTGACAGTCATTCTCTCTCTTCCTTTCCAAAGTTCATACTTATTGCTAAATCCGACACCAGCATACTTTTTCCCCAGTAAGAGGGATTGAACTCAGAGCTTCATGTATGACAGCCAAGCATTCTACTAATGAGCTGCATCCCCAGCCCATATTTTATTTTCAGACAGGATCTAAGTTGCCCAGAGTGACCTCAAATTTTCCATGCTCCAGTCTCAGCCTCCCATTTGCTGGGATTCTAGGCATGGAATACCACAACCAGTGCCAGAATACTCTTAAATTTATAGTGTTCCCAAAAAGAAAACAGCAACTGAGTCCAAATGGAATAATCATTTTGTGGGATAGGCAGAGTTGAACCTGGATTAAAGGGATCTTGTCCTCAATTCTGTGGTTGGAAACACACTTGTAAAAGGTATTTCCTCATTTGTCCCTCTTTTAGGGGCACAGTCTTCTATATCCTTAAAGCTGACTAGAATGGTAACTAATACACAGAAGTTTCTCCCTACTTTTTAAGTTTTTAAGAAAGGATCGCCCTGTATAGGTCAGGCTGGCCTTGAACCCACTATGTAGCCCAGGCTGGCCTCAAACTCAAAACAGTCCAGGTGTGGGCTACCAAGCCCACCTCTCCCTAGGTGTTTTACTTCTACCTGATGTATAGGCTCTGGTTAAGAGGCAATTCATTTCAGCTTCCGGTGTGTCATCAGGATCCCATCTACAGCCAGACACAGATAAAATACAAAAAAACAGACAAAAACCTTGCTTCACTTAATCAACAGTTATTTAAGGGCTGGGATGTGGTACAGCATGGGAGGATGTCATTTTAAACACAGCAAATAGGGGGAAAACCTTATGAAAGATAAGCAACAAGTTCAAACAAAAACTGCGTGGGGGGGTCCTTTATTTGATATGATTGATATGATTTACCAAACAGGACTTCAGAACTTGTACAAAACCTTAATAATACAATTTGTAAAAACAATGCAGATACTGTACTGCCATCCCCAGGCCAGTAAGTTGGTGAAGGTCCTCAACTATGATCTAACTGCAGGCTGAACGTCTGTGGACACACAGCATCCCTACTCCTCCAGAGATAAGACATGTCCTCCATGAATGAGACACTGGTAAGTGTGACAAAACGCAGAAAGGTTTGTATAGTACAGTGAAGCAAAAGACAATTCAAAGGTTAGTTTAGTGCAAGAAAAACTTTTACGTTTTCTTGTGGAGTCAGGTCCATGTAATAGCAACCATTCCTCACTATTAAAGTGTTGCCTAACTTAGGTTTCTTACGAAGGTCCTGTCAGGCAGAGGAAAGTGCTAAGGAACAAAGGCTTCTGAGGAAGAGGAAAGGGGAGGAAGAGGAGAGGATGACAGAACGACAGGAAGGAGAGGAAAAAGACAGGCGGTGAGGATTAGCAAAGAAGTAACTGCCCTTCCAAGAGGACCCCCGTTGGACAGATGGAGATCTCGACCAACAGACTAAATGGAAGACGCTGGGGGAGACCAGCAAGGAAGGAAATGGGGAGAAACTTCGGCGTCTCCAAAAGATCTCAACCTAGACATAAAAGCCTGTGGAGGCAGAGCGTGGACGCGGGTGATTGTCGTTTTCCCCAAGAGTGGGAGGGCCCGAGGAGGCCGCGAGGGAGCCAGCGAGCGAATTCCCGACAGAGGAGGGCGCTAATTTGATGGGCCAGAGAGGGCGAGGGGGAAGCCTCGGGGCCGCGGACGCCGCGAGCACAGCTACAGCATGCTGACGAGGGTCACCGGGGTCGCTAGCCGCAGTGGCCGTCGGAGCCGACGGTAGGCTCGGGCAGGGCAGCAGGCATGGAGCGCGGAGCCGCGGGGCGCGCTCCCCGGGGCGGGGGCGGGGCGGCGTGGCCGCAGGCTCTATCGGCTGCTGGCTTGAAGCCGGAGGTCCGGCTGAAACTGGCGCGTAGGCTCCCGGCGAGGCCCGCCCTCTCGCCAGCCCCTACCTGTCCGCGCCGCTTCTCCGTCCTTTTAGTCGCTGGCTCGGCCTTCCAGCGCCTGCCCGCAGGTTGTCAAGCGTCCATGATCGGCCCGGCGTCCGGCGATTTTCTGCCTCCGCCGACCCGTCGCCCGAGTGGCTCCCCCGGAAGCCACCCGCCGCTGCACTCGAGTTCCGCCCACACAAGGTTCCTCGCGCCGCGCTGATTGCCCCCGACCTCGCGTGGGGCGCGGGCGGGAGAGGAGGAGCCCAGCCTGGTGCAGCCCGGGACTGGAGCGGCGAGGGGACCGGAGCGGCGAGGAGCCCAAGGGCAGCAGCGTGGCTTGGGGACACCAGGGGCCCAACCTTCGCCCCGCGCCGAAACCCACCCCTATGGTTGGGTTCGACCCTCACGCGCTCCTAAAAATCACTGTTAAGCGTTTGTTGAGCATTTTTCCACGTGGCAGATGTATACAAATATTATCTCGCTTAATTTTCCTAACACTATGACTTGTAATTTGCCCATTTTTTCAGGTGAGCTAAATAAGCCTAAAAATCTTAAACTTCAACCCTTATCGCTAATCAAAGCTCACTTTGTACTGTGGCTGTGTGAAGTCAAAGCCCATGTTCTTAGGCTCTATTTAGGGGTAAAAAAAATCACCACGTAACCCAGACTGGCCTGGAGCTCACGGTGATGCCCCTGTCTCAGCCTCTCCAGTGCTGGGATTACAGGTGTGTGCCAGCACACCAGTCTATCAGAAAATGTTATTAAAGTTGGAGGGGCTGGTGAGATGGCTCAGTGGTCTAAAGCATCTACTTACAACAAGCTTAGCAAAGCACAGGGACCACGGTTCAATCCCCCAGTACCACATGCCAGCCAGCCCCCTGGTGGGCTGAGCTGGCCACACACACACACACACACACACACAAATAAATAAAATTAAAAATAAAGTAAGTTGGAGATGGGTTGGACAAATATTTGGTTCTCACCAAGATCAGATGGGATTCTGTGGTACTTTCGATTGCTGACAACTCCACTGGGAAGATAATACTACATAAGTGAACACTTAAACGGTTTCCTTTAGAAGAAAAGCCCTCCCTAGCTGGAACCAGGACCCAGGTGTGAGAGAAGAAGGGTGTGGAGCCAGGAAAACCTAAAGATGGAAGATTTCACCTGGGGTCTCCACCTTACAGAGCGCACAGCCCTTAAGAGGCACCTAGCAAAGCTCTCCTGACTTCAGACTGGCCTGGGGAGAAATCACTTAGGCTTAAATAGAATCTGAAAAAAAATGAGCAGGCAGATCACAAAAGGCATACGTCAACTAAAAAGGTTTTAAAAAAAAAAACAAAAAACCTCAGGGGCTGGGGAGATGAATCAGTATAATAAGCGCTTCCCTGGCAAGCGCAAGGGTCTGAGTTCAATCCCCGGTTATGGGGAGAGGGGGGAACCAAGAGATATTTCACTTTTTTAAACTGGGAGAAGATCTGATACCCTGGGGCTGGTGAGATGGCTCAGTGATCTAAAGCACCTACTTAGAACAAGCTTAGCAAAGTACAGGGACCGCAGTTCTATCCCCCAGCACCACATGCCAGCCAGCCCTGCCCCCTGGTAGGCTGAGCTGGCCACACACACACAATAAATAAATAAACTTTAAAAAAAAAAAAAAAAAAAAAAAGATCTGATACCCTTTCAGAATGATCACAGTAGGATCACACAGGATGAACCTGGTGTGAAGAGATCTGGAAGGAGAGAAGAAAACCCCTGAGGAGATGACTTGTTCCGCGTAAAAGACTGAGCTCCTGAATGGAGGAAGTGGTGGCAGCTGGAGACATTTAGATGATGGAACCTGTGAGGCTTGCTGAGGAGCTGGATGCAGGGAGGAGAGGAGACATCAAATCATGGCCTCAGACCAGGGCTGTCTGAAGGAGCTGTTCATAGCGCAGGATCCTCATGACAGTGGCAGGAAGACAACTGAGCCCAGTGTGCATTCAGGAATATTTCAGCAACATCAGAACCCTTCCCAGGGCACCACGCCCAGGCTAGATACCTGTTTGAGTTTACAATGCTTTTCTCTCATGCATGCCAGTACAAATCACACTAACCCAAGCTGGCCTGGAACTTGCAACAGTCATCCTGCCTCAGCCTCCGTAGTGCTGGGAAAACAGGCATGCACCACCACACCCAGCAAGGTGGGGTTTTTTTTGTTTTTGTTTTTGTTTTTTTTTGTTTTTTTTTCTGTAGCAGGAATCAAACTCATGACCTCACAATTGCCAGGCAGGCAATGTACACCTGAGCGATATCCCCAACCCCAGATTTCTTATATTCAATGCAGAGGTTGTCATAGAAGAGGTCAGCCTATTGCCCCTACAATGATATAAAGAATTTCTGTTTCAAAAGACACCAGTAAGAAAGTGAAGGGCCTGGGATTCATCCCCTGTATACCATGCTGGTCCCGCCCCCAGGGTGTGCTGAGGCCGAGATTGAGACTGGGCATAGTGACAGAGCCTGTAATCCCAGAGCTTGGGAGGCTGAAAACAGGAGAATCACTATGAGTCTGGTCTACATAGTGAGACTCTGTACACCCTATATACCCGGTCCTAAATTCATTTTTTTGTAAAAAGGAAAAGGAAAAAGAAAGAAAATGAAGGGCTGGCCAAATAGCTCAGCTGACTAAAGCGTAAGGACTTAGGCATAAGGACTGGGGTTTGATCCCCGACATGCCATGCCAGGGCACAAAGAGACTGAGCGTGGTGGCATACACCTGTAATCCCAGTGCCTGGGAGGCTGAAAACAGGAGAATCGCTATGAATCTGATCTGGGTAGTGAAACCCTTTAGTCCCTGAACTAAAATTATATATATATATATATATATATATATATATATGTAATAAAATGTATAAAATATATAATATAAAATAAAATTTCATATGTATATATATGAAAAGCAAGCCACAGACTTGGAAAAGATACTTGAAAGCATATATCTGATATGGAATTATGAATCCAGATTGTATGAAACTTTTTTTTTTTTTTTTTTTTTTTGCGGAACCGGGGATTGAACTCAGGCCCTTATGCTTGCCAGAGAAGTGCTTAGTCTACTGAGCCATCTCCCCAGCCCTGAATGAAACTATCAATCAGTAAGAAAACAGCCTAGTTTTTAAAAGTGAGCAAAAGACACTATCACGCACCTCTCTAAAGAGGGCATTGAAATTGATGATAAGATTGGGAAAAGGTGTTCAGTATCAGAAAAATGTGAATGTCATAATGAAATACTATAGGGGCCGGGGAGATGGCTCAGTGGAATAAGCACTTCCCTAGCAAGTGCAAGGGTCTGAGTTCAATCCCTGGTTCCACCAAAAAAAAAAAAAAGTTATCAATAATGAAATACTATAAAACTGACAACGCCCTGTGTTGATAAGCATATGAGGTAACTAGACGCTCATATATTCTGGTGAAGGCATGCACTGGAAAACTGACACTATCTGCTGTTACTGATCATATGCATACTGTACAAGTCAGAAACTGTTCTAGAAATGTATGTCAGTGTCCACAAAAATGAAGGCCTATGTAAGAATGCAGCCTTATCCAGTGTGGCAGGGCATGTTTTTAATCCCAGTACTCTGGGAGGCTGAAGCAGGAGGAGTACAAACTCAAAACTTCAAAGCTTAGTGACTTCTTGAGGCCCTGCCTCAAAGTAAAGACTAAAGCGGAGCTGGCCGCCGAAACCAGACACAGTGGCACACGCCTGTAATCCCAGAGCTGGGGAGTCTGAGACAGGAGGATCACTACAAGTCCGAACTGCATAGATAGACCCTGTACCAAATAAATAAATGAATGAATTAATTAATTAATTAATAATTTAAAAACATCTAACTCCAATATCCCATGCAGCACCAACCCCACCCCTAGGCATGCTGAGCAGGCAATGGAGTCCAGGCGGGTGGTGCACGCCTATAATCCCATCCCTGGGGAGGCTGAAAACAGAAGGATCACTATGAGTCCAAACTGTGTAGTGAGACTACTAAATACATTTAAAAAATTAAGATTCTATTTTTTTTTTAATTTTTTTTTGGCAGAACCGGGGATTGAACTCAGGCCCTTGTGCTTGCCAGGCAAGTGCTTATTCTATTAAGCCATCTCCCCAGCCCCAAGATTTTATTTTTTTTAAATACTAAAATAAAAAAGGGTTGGGGATCTAGCTCAGTGTAAAGCACCTCCACTTAATCCTCAGTACCATCAAATACTAGTACAAATAATAATAATCATGCAGCCTTGTTAATAATGGGGAAAAAAACTAAATGCCCACCAACAGTACACAGATGGGGGCTGGGGAGATGGCTCAATGGAATAAGCGCTTCCCTGGCAAGCACAAGGGCTTGAGTTCAATCCCCGGTTCCGCCAAAAGGAAAAAAAAAAACAGTACACAGATAAAACTGCAGCACATACATACAATGCGATACTACTCAACTGTAACAAAAGGGCTACAACCTGGGTGAATCCACAAAAACACTGATGAAATAGAAAAGCCAAACGTACTGTACACACTGGACAATTATATTTAAGTGAAATTCAAGTATAAACAAAACTGATCTAACAGCAATAAAGTCAGAATAACGGTTATCTTGAGATGTGAGGATGCAGCACTGACTGAGAAACAGCATAATAAGCATTGGAATGTTCTCTCTTGGTTCAGTGGTGACAGGAGTATATGTAAGGGAAACTCTCCACTTCCTGCATGGATGTTAGACCTCCTTAACAAAAACATTTAAGGATAAAAATGTTTCAATGTAGAAAAAACTTACCCATCCTTGAATTCAAATGCTACATCCTCCTTAAGTTTTGTATGATGTCTCTCCATCAGCCAGATATGGTGGCTCACACCCATAGTCCCAGCATTCAAGGCAGGAGGATTGCCATGAGCTCAAGGCCGGTCTGGGCTGCACAATGAGTAAAAGGCCAGCCTGAACTACACAGTGAGACCTTGTCTCAAAATGAACAAACAAACAAATCCATCTCTCCATGAGAGCCACTGGGGCATTCTGATGTCCTTTCTCCTATGTCATTACACTCCATCTTGAATCTGAATGGAGTCTCATTTCCCTAAACAGTTATCTTTCTAGTGACAATCTATCTTTCACCTTCTACGACTCAGTCCCTAAGAAACAACAGAAGCCAAAAACATGTTTGTTGAAATATGCACACGGAAGAAAAACTGGATGGGGGCCCAGGAAGGAGAAAAGGCAGACAGGAAGAGGACACAAGAAAAGTGAAAGGAAACCTCGATTTACACCAATTTTACCTATTTCTTGAAATCACATTAAAATGTCACCTTGAGTGACAAAGAACAAGTAAAAACGCCAAGTCCTACAGAGATGAAGGATAAACAAACATCACACTTCCTCACTTTCGGGAAAACCACCAGATAAATGCTCACCTAACCTTTGGTTTTAACGCTGGATGGGAAAACTGTTCATCAAGGACAGTGACAATCACACTGCTACGCTGCTAAAAATATCACCTCTAGTGTGGTGCAAAGAGCCCAGACTGCGCCAGGGGACTCAGGGCCGAATTCTAACTCTGCCCCAACTTGCTGTGATCTGTGACCAATCTCTTTCCCTCTCTGAGTCTCAATTTCCTCATACGTAAAAACAACAGAGGTAGAATTAGCAAATTCTTTCAAGTCCCTTCCTGTATTGCTATTCTGAGTGCACAATAGCTCAGCCGGTCAGAATCAGGAGCACATAAGAAACCCCAGCAAAACACTTACAAGGCGCCCCAAGTCAAGGAACAGTAGAATTTGAGGAAGTCATTTTGTTCCATTACCTATCACAGTTCAGTCTGTGTTTCTATGTTGTTTGCAACCTTACCATGATTTGCAGGAGACTTCTGAGTTCCGTGTAAACAAAAGTTAATTCTCTGTGGGCTGTCATCGCCTTTTGAGGTTGAAGAGGATTCTTGTGCGCAGTTCCAAACCTTCGGATCGAGCAGCCACAGACCCCGCGGGCCGGCTCCTAAATTTGCGCACACTGCGCGGCACAGTGGGGTCTAATTTAGAGGAGCGGGGCATGCTGGGATGTGTAGTCCTCGACCTCGACGGTACGCTGAAATCTGTGATTCCCGGCGCGCCTTCGGAATGCTGGGATATGTAGTCTCCGCTACTTTGCGGAGTGCAACCTGCGGTCCTCTCAGACTGCTCGTGTCCATCAGAGGGAGCAGGCCCCTCGAGCCTCTTCAGATCTTAAGCTAACCCTCCGCTGGGACAAACTCTAAGCAACAACACCGAATGACAATTTTGTCCTATGGGACTTCTCGGGGAGGGCCTTCCCATTGACGTTCATCGTCCCCCTGCGAAGCCGCTGAGCGTTTCTGTTGGCTGCTCGGGATGTCAATCGCTGAGCCAGACTTTCCATTGGCTTCGGGGCGGGCGCTCCGAGGCTAGAGGGAAGCAGAAGGGATCAGGAGCGGGAGCTGAGGGGAGGGAAAGGCCGGTCGGGTCTGGCCGCTGCGGCTGCTAACCTGAGGTCTCCAGACCCGGTTGCGGATCGGCCCTCGGCTCCTGAGCACCATCCGAGAGGCCCCGGCCGGCCAGTGTGTGAGAGTCGCGGGCGGCGGCCGCCGCATCATGTCAGCCAAGGACGAGCGGGCCAGGGAGATCCTGAGAGGCTTCAAACTGTATCCGCCCGGGAGCGGGGTGGGGCGGGGCGGAGGGGGGTCTTGGGAGGCGGCGGTCGCTGAGGAGCCCGGGCGGGGACGCCAGGGGGAACCGAGCCGAGGGCGGCGCAGGGCAAGGGACCGAGAGGAGCAGCGCGGGGGCGCCCGGCGGGAGGAGGGACCCGGCGCTGGCAGCCCCGGGAGGCGAACGAGCTTGGGACCCGGCTGTGGGGGGCGCCGGCGTCGGGAGCGCGGGACCTTGAAGCCAGCTGGGCTCGTGGCTCCGGCTGGGACCTGGGGGTGGGGTGGCGCTCGGCCAGGGCATGGCCGAGGGGCGCGGCGGGCCGGCCTTGAGGCCTCCTAGAACTCTGGCGGGGAAACCCACCGGGGAAGTGCTCGAGCGAGTGACCTTGTACACGGCACATGCCCACGCTGTGCTAAACTCTGCCGGGTCCCCCACCCCTCTCTGTGTGCACAACTGTTCATCCTCACTTGTGGCTTCTTCCAAGGCCAAAGTAGTAGAAGAGGGTGAAGAAAGACTTCGTTAATTCCCTTGGCCTTTGGGCGGCATTGGATGGTCGCTGCTTCTCCCCGCCACCCTTCGGGGGTGCTTTTCAGTTAGATGAGGACCTTGGATGCATGTGGGATGCCTCGAGGTCCCCTGGGTCTGCACAGACCTCCAGCGAGGATATCCGTGCTCTAGGGCGTTGGACATTGGCATGTAGTGTTCACCCTTGCTAGGGTGGAGCTGTCCTGCAATTATTAGAATGGAGGACCTCGTTAATAGGACATGGAAATCGTTGCCTCAGGCCTGGTGTGGTGCCACTTTTGCAACCACAAGGAAGCTTTGTGTTTTAAATGAATGTGTATTAGTTGCTCACATAAAATGTAAAAGAGCTGGGGGCATGGTGGTGCACACCTGTGATCCAAACACTGGGAGGCTGAGGCAGAAGGATAGTAAGTTTAAGCTCAGCCTAGGAAGTTTAGTGAGACCTTTAATCAGAAAATAAAACGGGCTGGGGATGTGCTCAGTGCAAAGGTCCTGGATTCAATCCCCAGTACCATACAAAATAATAACATAGACCCAAAAAAATGTAATCTTATGTATTCCAATGTTACATTCTCCAGCTGACCTTAATCTCTTCTTACTTCCATCTCTACAGTATGAAACAGTCTTAAATTCCTCTCTCAGGGAGATGTAGTCATCCCTTCAGGGTTCCCCACTGGAGGTTTAGTGAAGCCCTGTTCTCTGAGCTGCTCATTATGTTTCCGCAATGCCCATTTCACCCTACCAATTTTAATTGCTTTGTCGTAGTCAGAAACCATGGTAAGTTTTATTATACTTTTTTTTTTAAAGATTTTTTAAATTTTATTTATTTATGTGTGTGTGTGGGTGGGTGGGTGGCCAGCTCAGCCCACCAGGGGGCGGGGCTGGCTGGCATGTGGTGCTGGGGGATTGAACCATGGTCCCTGTGCTTTTTTGCTAAGCTTGTTCTAAGTAGGTGCTTTAGACCACTGAGCCATCTCACCAGCCCCCATGGTAAGTTTTAGAACACAATGCAAAATAGTCCAGGAAGTTTTGGTTATATTTAATATAGTTGTTTTGTTTTGTTTTGTTTTCTGTTTTTGTCTTTTGAGACAGGGTCTGGCTGTGTAGACCAGGCAGGCTTTGAATTCACAGCAATCATCTTTTCTCGGCCTCTCTGAGTGCTGAGATTACAAGCATGTGTCACCATTCCTGACAACAAGACATGTTTAGAACAAATGGCTTTTGAACACAGAAAAGGAAAGTTTGTGCTTCTTTGCCTTCAGTCTTGGTTCTTAAACCTGTTGAAAAAGAGGCTAAAAAACTAATAGGGAAAACAGAAAACAGACCTATGCAGCCTCTGGCTGAGAATGTGAATTAACCAATTCAGTGATGAAGCAGGAAACAGACTTTCAGGAAAGCTTGTCCTGAACTGACTGAATCCCAAAACACAAGAGAAGCCACCACATAAAAGTCAGCATAGAAGGTGAAAGGCAAGAGATGGAGCTCAGGGACAGAGCACTTACCGCACCAGGTCCCAGCTTCCATCCTCAACGCTGTAGATAAATAAGGAAACTAGAGCCAGGTATGGTGGTGCATGCCTATAATCCTAGCACTCTAGGAGTCTGAGGCAGAAGAATCTTAAGCTCACACCATTCTGAGCAGCTAAGCAAATTGGTGAGACCCTGAGTCAAAGTAAGAACTAAAAAAGGGCTGGGGTTGTAGCTCAGTGCAAAGGCCCTATGTTCAATCCCCAGTACTGAAAGAAGAGGTAAGCAGCAATTATAGGATTTGATGCTGCATTCATGAAAAAGAAAAAGTTGGTAACAAACTACCTGATTATTGTCTACCTTTTACTGCATAAATGATTTTTCTGAACTTTCTTCCAGAGTGCTTATTTCTATAAGAATCATTTCTCTTCATTTTTTTTTTTTTTTTTTTTTAATTTTTATTTATGTGTGTGTGTGTGTGTGTGTGTGTGTGTGTGTGTGTGTGGCCAGCTCAGCCCACCAGGGAGCAGGGCTGGCTGGCATGTGGTGCCTGGGGATCGAACTGCGGTCCCTGTGCTTTGACTAAGCTTGTTCTAAGTAGGTGCTCCAGACCACTGAGCCATCTCACCAGCCCTCTTCATTTATTTCTCTAAGACAAGGTCTTGCTAAGTATAAGTAGTCCAGGCTGGCCTCAAACTTGTGACAAGTGTCCTGCCTCAGTCTCCCAAGAGCTGGACTTATAGGCCTGTGCTGCCATGCCCAGCTGTCTTTATTACTACAAAAACCACCATTTTGGGCTGGTGAGATGGCTCAGTGGTCTAAAGCACCTACTTAGAACAAACTTAGCAAACACAGGGACCACGGTTCAATCCCCCAGCACCACATGCCAGCCAGCCCCGCCCCCTGGTGGGCTGAGCTGGCCACACACATATACACACACACACACACACACACACACACACACACAAATAAATAAAAATTAAAAAAAAAAACACCATTTTGTTCCCCTACCAAGTGTTGAAAATTCTGCAAATGTGGACCACAAATGGTCTTTCATCTGTTTCCCACATCCCTCACTACCAGACAGGTGGTACAGAAGAGGAGTTAAGAGCTTTACCCATCACACATTGTGATAACACCACCATAATCCCAACACTCAGGAGGCTGAGGCAAGAGGATTAAGTTAAAGCCAGCCTGGGCTATGTAGTGGGTTCAAGGCCTGCCTGAACTACAAAGTGAGACTCTGTTAAAAAGAAAAAAAGCACTGGACTGAGGAGCTACTCCCTGCATTGCAATCCTCTCTGTACACTCCTGTCGTATGTCCCGAGCCATGCCATAGTCTCTTCAATCGCCTCATATGCAAAATGGGATAACGACAGTGCCTGTGTCTAGGGACTGTCTTAAGAGTAAATGAGTGAATATTTAAAGCATTTTGTAAAATATCTGCTACATAGCCAGCATTCTTGTTATTAGAGTTGCAAGTCTCTTCTCCATTTTTCATATTCATCCATTTGCATGAACGGTTTAGTAATTTTATTTTTGCCTGTGTCACTAGTAAATTTCTCTTATTACTCGCTGGGTGTTTTTAATATATTTTCTTGTCAATCTTTGCCTATTATGCATATAGCAAATATTCTCTCTGAGTGTATTGTTTGTCTCCTTTTTTTGCTGAACAGAATTTTAACTTAATATTTCAGATTTATCTGTATTTTCCAGTTGGCTTCTTATTTTGTATCTTGTTGAAGAAGACATTCTTTTATCAAGATTAATTAAATGTGCTATGTTTTCTTTTTTCAGCGCTTAACTCTTGAATTCACCCACAATGTGTTTTTACATAAGGTGTGTGGTAGAAATCTATTTCTGCTATTTGAATAGCCCATTGTCCCAGTGCTGATTGCTAGGTAGTTAGCTCATCCTTTACCTGCTGTTTTAAAAGACTGTCTTTGTTACTTACAAGATTTCTTTAAGACGTGGGTCTAGTTTGGGAGTTTCTGTTTCATTGGTTTATTGGAATCTTCTTATGCCCTGTACACATAGAGTTTTATAGTGTAATTAATATAAAGTTTCCAATAGGACTGGTACGTAACAGTATGTATATTTTAAAATCATACTGTAAGTTCCTGTAGATATTGCTGTCGCTTTTATTCACATAGAATCTTGCTCATACATCCATAATAGATGCTTAATAAGTATGAATAACAAATTGCATAGAGGCCGGGGAGATGGCTCAGTGGAATAAGCGCTTCCTTGGCAAGCACAAGAGCCTGAGTTCAATCCCCAGTTCCGCCAAAAAAAATAATAATAATAACAAATTGCATAAATAGCAAATGTCAGTAGTCTGAGAGAATGCATTGTAGGTGTTTGTGTTTCAAAAATAAGAAAACACAAGGTTTCTTCCTCGTATCACCTCTACCCCATCATACCCTGCTTTTTACCACATATACACTGAATCTTACATTTGTGTCATTTGTGTGTCTGTGTCTGTGTGTTGTTTGGTTTGGTTTCATTTGGTTTGGTTTAGTTTTAGGTTCTTGGTTGGTTGGTTGGTTGGTTAGTGGTTTGGTTTGGTTTGGTTTGGTTTGGTTTGGTTTGGTTTGGTTTGGTTTGGTTTTTTTACTGGGGATGGAGCTCCGGACCTTGCCAGGCAGGTGTTTATGCCACTGAGCTATGTCCCTGGCCCTGTTGCTTGTTTTTTTGGGACAGGTTCCAGGGTGGTCTTAACTTGCTGTGTAGCCCAGGCTGGCCTTAAACTCAAAGCATCCTCTTGCCTCAGCCTCCTGAGTGCTAGAATTACAGGTATGCGCCAGCACACCTAGCCCTCCTTTGTTAAATTATAAAGTTACGAATAAAGTACCACTTGGAAACAATTGTGATTGTCCTGCAAAGGTTTTGGATTTGATAATCTGAAGCAACTGACATAGATTGTTTATGAATCCTACATGCTGTGTTCCATTCATTCAAGTCTCTTGCCTGCCTGTCACACACAGAGCATGACACCGAAGCAC